TACAACTCTATTAACGCCCCTGACGTGATACAGCGAAATATAGTAGGAGTAAGTAAAGGACCCTTTCCACGCCTTTCGGCGTATAGGGCGTATAGGACTAGATACATATTTTATAGACCAATCGGCCGCCTTTACTTCCCGGGACTGCACCCGGTACCCACTCAAGGCTGGGTCGACATGAAAGCCAAAGTCATTTTTGATAAAAGTCCGACTCCGACAGGGAGCGAACCCACGACCTTCTGATCCTCAGCGAGCGTCTAGCCGCTCCGCCACGGCGACTCCCACAGCGAAATATAACTGACAATAAATTGTTCAATGTATTGGTTGTGTCCATATTATTTAAATTCATTACGGAAAAACATTGTTTATTTGTTTTTAATTTTGTTATGTAGTTTAAAGGATGTATCCTTTTCCCGATGGCGACTTCGCAGAGACGATTTTTTTCTACACCAGTAGCGCACTGAGAATATGACGCTGGACTCGTATTCTATAGCCCAGTCGAATATCCATGGGATGATTTCATCAGCTTCATACGGTGGTCTTTGACTTATGTTAGTCTTAGTCGAGGTTTCAACTTCACTGCAGTGGGTCAAGGCCATATTTGATAAGTTCACGTGTCAGTAAAAAAAATCAATAGTCGCCACCAGTTTATCTTTGATAGAAGTAGTCGGTCACACTAAGTTTGCTGTACACCATATTGAATACCACAACTCAATCGCTGCACAAACAAAAGGATTCCACATGACCCCCCCCCCCCCCAAAAAAAAAAAGCTCACAGTGCTGCACCAAGCAGTGGATTCAGTAGCTCAGTAACTTCGAAACTAAAAATTTTAGTCCTTTATATCGGACCAGAGGTCACTGTCCAAATGTATAAGGAGAATTTTTCTGACATTGAGCAACATGTTGCCCTTGTCTTTTCTATGAATGTTATTGAGACTAGCCGTCAAGCACAATGTCGACACTTAAGGCGAGACTCTTGTTCGGTGCATTTGTTAGGGGTGGTGCTAGTTTCGATTGTGATACTGGGTTACTGTCATGAAACAGCCGTCAACAGGCGAAGACTACCTTTAAGACGTGCAAGGGAATGCGAAACAATAATAGGCTCTCACTGATCTGGGCAAAGATTGTTGAATCAATGAAAGCGTACAATTCACGACTTAAAGTCTACGTACGGCACATAATATAATCCATAAAAAAAGCTGTGTGGGGCAAACAGTCGTAGATTATTTCCGCTGAAACTCCTGACGCAACATGGCAACCGCTTCCTTCGAAGTCGGAGTACAGCTGCCCATGAGGCAGGGAAATGAAAAACGGTTGTACACGCAAAAATCAGGTCCAAGTGAAAGCCAAAAGTCCAAGCGGACGATTAACCGGGACCTTCCACTGGAATTCACAGCCGGTGATCGATAAAAAAATATAAAAAATGGCAACCGTAACAATTACAGTCAACTCCAAGATGCCCAATCGTAAATCGAATGACAAGGGCCAGGTACGTAGTACAGCACTGGTGTATTACAAACACTGTGATCCGAATGAATAAATGCAATAACGTGACATGTGGACATGACTGTTTCTGTTTCTCCTCTGTACTACAATAGGACCCTTGTGATAAGACAGCTCAAGTATTTGCAAAATATAAACCACACTTTTTGATGTACTAGCTTGGTTGGATGTCCGCACAACTATAAATGTCACCCAAGACTCGGTGAAAACTTGCCTAATCTCACCGGTCAACATACCACAAGTACTGACTTACTACAATAATAAATACAATAAATTCAAACTAGAAAAATAGAAAGTGTTGACAAGACTGATTCGCCACCCCTTCCCCCGGTAATAAACTAAATGAAGTCTAATTATGCAAAGACAAGAAGAGCTTTTACTACCTAATGAAAGATGACACCCTATGACTACACCACACCAAAAATGTCACTAAATACAGCATGTTCATATTACTACGAGCACCAAAATCCTCAGTTCAGCACTCTATCCTGTTAAAGTTCGTGAAGTCGTGAGAGTCTTTGAGATATAAAATATGCTTGTGACTTCTCATCGCTAAACAATAACGTATCTGTCAATGCTGGTTCACGTGAGCATCTCCCAAGGACTTCTCTCTGACTTCTTACTCTTCAAACGAATAAGGTGATAGAAACGCGAGCTTCAAGAAGGATACCCCTTGCAAATGATAAAATGTTGAACGATAATGCATCAATAAGGATCCTATAGTGCGTAGATGAGACCAAAGATAGAAGCGAACCGTCGATAAACGTCCGATGATCTTTCAATGCTGAATAACGACAATCCAATAAACGATAGACATGAATATGGTCCAACGCTGTTAAGGTTCCACAATTACAGACAAACCAATAAAAGGTTGACAAATATGTCGGGATGGTCCAGCACTGTTAAGGCTCAACAAGAACACACAAATCCAAGAAGAGTAGAAAGGTATATTACGCCAGTGTAAACGACGGCAGTGATGCTTGACTGAGAGATTATCAAGACAAAAGTAGACCGTAAAAAGTCATATGGCAGTATAAGGTTTGTCAATAGGTTGCCCAGATTTAAAAGATGAGGATGTATGGGAAGTAAAAGATGTGCAGTCACAGACGACACAAATGATATGGTTTAACGCTGCAAAAGCCAATTGCGTCACAGGCTAACCATTTGTCACACGTATGAGTAACAAAATGCAACATTAGTCAGCTTTGAACAGTAAGCCCGTTCTAGAATCAGGGATGATCTTCGACCGTGAACAGGCGACAGGTCCTCCAGGTGCAACTTGGGAACCAAACAGATCTAGGACTAACTAATTCAAATAGATCAACAGCTTGATGTACTATTGACAAATGCATCATATTCAGTATACCATATCGGTGCAATCCGACATATCCTTCTAATAAAGAATGAAAACCATGACATACATACACTTAAACTTTAACATTACAATGGCAATTCATCAACCTTCTCGCTACATCTCTATCTTTCTCTTCAGCGATCACATGTATTATTATTACCTTACGGTAAGTCTGCATATATAACAGCAAATTTACAAATCAGTATTATCTCCTCTGATTCTTCTTAGACACAGGTATCTGTCCTGCAACAATAATTCCTTTCGGCTAAACATGAACTTGCATAGAGTTTTCATTAAAACGCTTTTTATTTTTTTTTTACAAAAATAACCGTTTAAACGCCGAGCGAGCACTTCCTCAATTAGTTGAAGTTTTTTGCACCAGGTAGCTAGACAGCGAAAGCGTCACAGCATACTGCAGATACTGTCTGGTAGGTGTACATAGCAGGTTTTCGTAGATCGTAAAGGACGAACAAGTCCTCTCAGTCCAAAGACTTTGCACCAGTGGTATGTGTATTTGACTTTAATACATGCTACATTAAATGTAGCATTTGGGCTGTTCAGTGCTGGGTTAATTTAATCTTTAGCTACACTCGACACCTACGCTCTAGTCTATTATATACACCTCACTAAGAATCTACTGGATTTCAAAGAGATGGTCGTACGCTCTCTTAGACTGCTGTTCATGCAACTGTTGATGTTGTCCTCCCATTCGTACTTCTGTCTACCGCTTGCTCGAGCACCCCTGACCTTTTCCTCCTTTATGGTTTTTTAAAAGGGTGTCATGTCTTTTAATGTGGCCTAAATATATCTACTGCCTCGCTTTTTGCTTGTTTAAATGATCTCTGCAATTTGTTATATTTGTGTCCATGTAGTACGACCTAATCCTTGTTCTACCCAGAGACTGAGTTCTATTTTCTAGTTGCTTCTTTATTTTCCAAGCTTCTGCATCAAACATCAGGGTTGGGTATACATATCATTTCACGAGTATCAGTGTCCTCAGTTAATCTCACAGTAAATTTGATGCATTTTTTTTAATCCAAGTTATTGTTTGTCCTCTTTGTATTTAAAATAATCGAAGCTAACTATAGGTTGAACAGTCTTAATGTCTTGTAATGGTCGAATAAAGTCGATGTTAAGGTCTAAGGTCCCTTTTTCACGCCTTTTACGCGTATAGGGCATATAGGGCTATACTTATATTTTTATAGACCAATTAGCACAAGATGGGTGATGTGGTCAGCATTACACCTGCTACCTTTACTTACCAGGGCTACACCTGATACCCACTTAAAGGTAGGTCGACCCGGAAGTCAAGGTCATAGTTGAACAAAGTCTGACTTCTCCAGGGAGCGAACCGACGATCCTCCGATCCGCAGGCGAACGTCTAGCCTGTGTACATAGTTATACACTAAGTAAGTAAAGTAAAGGACCCTTTTCCACGTCTTTAGTCTATAGGGCATATAGGGCTAGACCTATATCATTATAGACCAATCAGCACAAGATGGGTGATATGGTCAGCATCACGACGCCGCCTTTACTTCCCGGGACTGCACCCGGTACCCACTTAAGGCTGGGTCGACATGGGAACCAGGTCATTTTTGAAAATAGGCCGGCTCCGCCAGGTAGCGAACCCACAATCTTCCTAGCCGCAGCGAGCGTCTAGCCGCTCGGCCATGGCGACTCCCAGTTATACACTAGCACTTCAAAATATTTATTTAAAGACGTGTCTTTAATCAAGAAATAATTATTTACACGTGTAATAATGGTAACGCATAGCAAGAGAAATTAAAAGAACACGATCAAATAAGTAACCTAATGCAATTATTTGTTCCTTTTAAACCAACTAAACTACGTATCAGTTTATTGATTTTTTATCTGTGGGGTTGTGATAATTAAAAATGCTTGTTCAAACAAACCTGGAGATGGGTGCGTCAATAAATTTAAACTCTGGCTTATTGTGCGGTAACATATCCTATAGAAGGACCATTTTCTAATTTTTTTATAAACCTTTGCTGGAAGCTGTACTATTCTCTATTATAATTTTTTTTTTTTTCAAGTTAGAAAGTACCACATCACTTCGGACGACCAACCAATAGTTCTAGAATATATACGTGTAGATAAAAGACAGAGAGGTATAATGACAGACATGAATCAATCAGAGAAAGTGCCTATTGACGAAAGTGATTGTATCTCGCAAAACTCGACTTATGACTCTTTGAGTCACAACCTAGTAGATGTCCTCAACATATACGCACCGTTATTCTTATCCATCTGTGGGGTCTTCAGTAATGTCATCAACCTGGTCATTTTCTGGAAACTAAGCCTCAAGGACAGCATGAGCGTCAGTCTCTTCGCCTTGTCCCTGGCAGACTTTCTCTCGGCCTTCTTGTACACAATGGTATGTCTATGTTATCTAACCAACAAGTTGTATCCCTCCAGTAATATCGATGCTTGGGCCCTGGGTTTCTTCGCTTTCGGCTGGATGGTAAATGCCATGTACTTGACCTCTTGCTGGATCACGGCTATGATAACTATAGAACGATGTTTTTGTGTAGTTTTTCCCTTTAAAGTGAAGCAAATCTTTACCAGATTTCGCACCGCGATTTTTCTAATAATATTATACTTTATTCACATAGGGCTTCACTTACCCATCTACATAGTTCATAAAATGGAATGGATCGTAACATCGTCTAGCTCTCAATGTGAGAACGTTTTTACAGAAACACCAGTTCGACGGTTCACAACGTTGTTCCTTGAAGAAACTGCCAGACTGGAAATGATCTTCGATATCACAGTAAGCCTCGCATTATCTGATCTAGCATTCGCCCTAGTGATAGTGTGCACAATCTGGATGGTCCGTGAGTTATACGCCACATCCAAAATAAGATTGGCAATGCTATCCGCAGATACAGGTACCAAACGGTCTGCAAAGTTGTCAAAGAAAGAAAGAAAGCTCGTGAAGGTGGCATTGACGTTAGCGATAACAATAACAGCTTGTGGTTTGCCCAGGGTTGTAGTAGTTACTGTTTATAATTCCACCCCGGGTGTCAACACTGGCCCTTTGAAACAGGATATCATTATCATGTGGGCTTTGGCTTATATCTGCACCACACTGGGAGGTTCAATTACAGTCTTTGTTCACCTGGCTCTGAATAAGAACTACAGAGTCACATTTTACGATTGCTTTAAATGTTATCAATAGTGATAGTGATTAACTAGCTAATCAACATTCCTAGTGTCTTCGGATTTTTTAAAACATATCTATATTTTAACTGTTCTGTTAACTTTGCAGAGTCACCATCTGTATTTGCTAGTTATCCAACCTTCCCAGTGCCAGCATTAGTAATGTGTTACTAGTTACCTAATCTTTCCAATGTAGTGTGTAAAAATTTAGCACTGCGTGGCAAGGTAAGGCTACAAGAACATAATTACAGTGGAACTCAAATATTAGTTCCCGGCTAGATTCGTCTTTAATATTTTTTAATTCCTCCTGTTCTTCCATTTACATTTGTGTTTGAAATTCTCACCTAAAGTAAATAGTCGTCTTGCCCCCGACGTGACCGGCGAGTTATCAGACGAAGGAAGAAGATAATTTGCCCGTTCCAAGTGCTGAAATTAAGAAATGGATGTCCACTTGTGCAAAAATGCAGGTTTTCACCAAGAAATAGCACCCAGACATCGCTATAGTTAATTAGCGTATCAATTTTTTTGATGACGATGTGTTTGGACACATTACGAAATAAAATTAAAATGTAATTAAAATGTATTTGCAATTATTTCAGAGATCTACTTTCCAGTGAAATTTTCTTTTTGTTAAAAGATGGGCAAAAATTCAGGCCTCCGATGTTATTAAACCATTTTTAGTAATTTTCTAATGTAAAAACTCGTTTGATATTGGTCTGTCTCAACATGTGTGCTCCCTCAGGAATGGATTAATGACGAATATCCGAGGTATTCTCAGATGTGTTCTCAAAGCTTATGAATCAAATGTTCATATACTTACATCACAATCGAAGGATGGCAGATCCAAGAGTCCTTTAGGATATCCACAATGGTGAATTACACATGGACGGAAGATGTCGGGGTCGGAATCGACTGCGATTTAGGTGTGTGTGCCAGCCAGGCATGAAAGATGCATGTTCTGAGGTAGATTCCTGGCAGCAGGACGCCATGGGTAGCAATTTTTAGGGGTGAGGGGTAGGTGTCCGGTGCAAGTGTGGCTATGGGATGATTGCATATGATGATGATAAATTTTGAACTTGTGACTGAACAAATGCGACAAAGCAACGGGTTTTTCCAGGGTTGCTGAGTACTGAGCGGTGCGGGAATTGATCGTGGAGTTGGAGTGAGAAAGACTTAGAGACAGGACGTTGTTTTGACAGTTAGATGTTTCTATGTTTTGACGGATATTAGCGACAGGTAGCTTCGTGTTAGTGGGTTAGCCTGACGGTAGAATGATTCATGTGTTAGTCTGTGTATGTATGTATTATTACGCATAATTAAAATAGTATTCAAGTATGTACTTTGTTAGACGTTAGCGATGCGGTCTTTGAAGGGTTGATCTGGTTACGTGACATGGTTTGTCCACTCACAAAGAGGTGCAGTAGCATAGCGGTCCAAGTGTAAGGCGCAGTTACGTCGAAAAGAGCTTTAAGGGAGTCGGTTGGTTGGGACCCTGGTCACAGTCGTAAGGCCGGTAAAGTACTGTAGGAGCAGGTAGGTAATTAGGCTGGTAACGCAGACCACTTTCCCCCAGATAAACTGCCGCATTGATTTTTGTGAACTGCATTAAAGATTGTTGTGTATGCTCTCACTGTGTTGGTTGATTGTGTTTAGGAGTAGACCTTTTCTGTCATGGGAATGCCAACGAGCCCTTTTGTCCTGACGGCAGTAAAGTTAGTCTCTGACAGTAGGAAAGGAATGGGGACATGGGACAAGAGGACTGCAACAAGTTAGGAGCTTGAAGTGATTGCGAAAAAGACCATGACTCGTGTTCTTTTATTGCCACAGAAAAGATGCCTGATCAAGACTGTCAATAATGTTGTTTGCTGATGTTTACTCGTTAGCTGTTGATAGTATGGGGACTATTTACCGCGTCCATTACTAAAACAAATCTCTGATTTATGATGAGCCATCTTCACATGTTTAATACTGTCGTTCACAGAAGTTTACTGATTTCAAACAGTCATACATCGTAGGAATCATGACACCGTTAGGAAACTCGGTACAGAACCAATACTGAACTTTATAGGTAGACAACAAATCAAATGTAACAAGATGGCATCAGACAGGCCACCTATGAGAGCAATGTTACACGGATACAGCGGTAATATTCCTAGAGGAAGACCACGCATAACCTAGACTTCAGAAATATCAGAGGCACTAAGAAGTATTTTATACAAAACACCGTCTGTGCTAGCTTTACATTCACTAGACACGCCACTCGGTTTCCATGGGCAACTTTCAGGTCCGCAAACCACACCAATGCAGGAAACGTTCTTTGCATTTGCGACAGGACCTCATTAGGACGCCGTCGAGTGCAGGGCCCGTGTACCGAGGATGGATATAATCACAAAATAAGAAGAAACTTCACACGGAAGCATGTACATCAATGGCCTACCAATCATCAGTAGAAGTAATCTTTCGTCAACAAATGTTTCGGCCCACGAGCTCCTAGACATTTTCAGAGAGTGGGCCCACCTGAGTTCATGAAGCTCAGGGTTGGTTTTTCCTGCTGCACCGATTACCGAATGTAGTTCGGATAGGGACAAGACGAATTGGTGATTTTGCAGAAGGTACTGTAAGATGAGAAGTCGTCGCGGTAGCATAATTAAAGCAGTCTGCATAGCTGAACGACCGAGCGGCAAGCTTACGATTGGTATACCAGACACATGTTGGACTTTTGTTATCAGGTGGCAGAGGGACACTGGCAGACAATTCGGACACTATGGACTTTCAAGGGATGAGAAATTCTTTTCCACTAGACACCTGGACCAGCTCACCGAGGCCCGTCCCCTACGTTGTTTCGTAGTGTCCAGAGCCAGCTCGAGGCCCTCTCAGCAACCTAACTCAGCTTTTTAAGTGTCCGTTTGCGTTCATTACCATGTAAGCCTAGTTCTTTAACCACATTGTAGAGTGAAGTGGAAACGAGACCTCTCGCTCCCACTTCGACGGCAAAGACTCGTACCGTGTACGCCTCGTCTCTCCTCAGATCGGCTGCTAAGTCATAGTACTTCTCTAGCTTGTACATATGGCTTTCGTCCACTCGCGACTCATACGGGACGGTCAGCTCAATCAGAATGAGCAGCCGTTTCTCCGCAGAGGGGAGAACTATGTCAGGTCGCAGGCCGGTCTTCCGGATTAACTCAGGGTACATTTCATGGCCAGGCAGATCAACCGCCTGTAACCAGTCCCTCGCAGAGACTAGCATAGATGGAGCGAATGCGCCTTTGTTGATTTTACCTTTTTTGAATCTGCCCAGCCTTGAGGAAGCGTATGGGGACTATGGTAGGACTGGCCCTCGCGTTGGCCCTCATCCTAGCCTGGTCCACAGCAGCTGCCAACTCTTTTAGCACCATGTTGTGGCGCCAGGTATATCGGCCTTGACCTAGGGCTTTCCTGCGTGTTCTACCGTCTGCTTCGCTCTGCACAGCGGGCATGTCGGGTCGTTAGTCGCAGACCACTTCACCATGTTGACACCGGACGGTATTACATCGTACGCAGAACGAACGATAAAGCTCAGTCGCAGCGGGGTCATTCGCCAGATCTCGCCCCATGTGAGTACTCTTGACAATGCGCTCTCCAGGCTGACCCAATGGCCATGCTGCGACTGCTGGGCTGCTTTCTGGATCCAAACCTCTTTTTCGTTGTCCCTAACTTGTTGTATTACCAAGTCTCGGCGTTCTTTGGCTGTGGCTGTGGCTTTGGACCACCAACTGACCTTTCCGTGACCTAGGCCTCGGCGGTCGGTTTGAGTGTATCCCATAATCTCCTTCAATTGTAGTGCATTCCGGGCAGATTCAATTGCATCGAGGACTCTCCACTTCTGACCAGTCTTTAGAGCGTGCTGGACAGCGATGACATTTGGGTCTGAAGACTCGCGCAAGAGCAAGGCGAGTCTTACTTTGCCTACTTTAAACTCTTCGGTTATCGAATTGAACGGGAGTACCAGCTTAGCCTGCTTACAATACAGAGCCACGTCGGTCAGACAAGGCAGTGCACCAATCCACTTTCTCAAGGTTGTGTTGATATTTTTCTCCATCGTCTCCACTGCAGTCATCGTCACCTCGTAGACTAACAGCGGCCAGAGGAGCTTTGGAATCAACATGAATTGGAGACCCCAGACCTTGAACTTCCCGATCAGCCTGCTACGCTCGATCGCGAGCAGGCCTGTAGCCAGTGACTCGTGTATTCGCCGGACCTCCGCTCTATCAGATAACTTCGAATCGTAAACGCGACCAAGGCTCTTCACCGGTTCCTCCAGAACCGTGGGGATCTTATTACTTGCCCCATAAAACTGGTTGCCGACACCTTGCCCATAAGGATTGACAGACTCCTTGACTCCTTGAC